ACACACACACACCAACACATACACTGCCCACTCACACACTTACCCTTACACACACCACTGCATACACTGCCCCCATACACACACACTTGCCCCCCATACACACCCCCCCCCCCACACATACACTTATACACACACACTACCCCCTTTACCACCCCCCAATACACATTGCCCCCATACATACACTGCCCCTCTATACACATACACTGCACCCATACACACACTGCTCCCACACACACATACACTGCCCCCCAGACACACACTGCCCCCACACACACATACACTGTCCCCATACACACACTGTCCCCCACATACACTGCCCCCATCCTTTTCTGCCCCCCACACACACATGCCACTGCCCCCCATACACACACTGCCCCCACACTCACATACACCGCCCCCATACACACACTGCTCCCACACACACATACACTGCCCCCCACCACATTACACCACTGTTCTTATGCCCTACTACAGCCCCATACCCCAGCAGATCCCAGGTAAGTTGTCAAACTGTTCTTAACCACTTAAGGACCGGACTGCTTTCTTTATATACCATTATTTATATAATCTCATGTAATTTAATTTAAAAAAAAATTAAAAATATGATGAAAAATTGAAAAAAATAAAAAATTTTTACTTTTACGTGAAAAATCTTTTACTCATCTACAAAAGCGACTGAAAAAAACAGCTAAATAGATTCAAAATTTTGTCCTGAGTTTAAACATACCCAGTGTTTACGTGCTTTTTTGCTTTTTTTTTTAACGTTATAGGGCTATAAGTACAAGTAGGATATTGCGGTTTCAAAACATACATTTTTAAAATGTATCAATAGTGACATTGTAACACTATTCCTGGCTAATCATGGCAGCATCACTTATGGGTAGCTCCTCCCTTATCAGTCACAGGACAGGGATTAATTAGATTAATTAATCAGACTGATAGGTATAAGGAGTCCCTCCTCCCCCTATACCTCAGTCTTTTTTCCTGTCCTTAGCAAGTTCTACAGGACTTTTTACATTTTATTTTATGGCCACCTTCCTGCGTTTGTCGTGGGTTCGTTCCAAATGAAGTTCAGCCTCTCTTCATTTGAAGGACCCAGTAAACAGCCTGCATGAGCAGGACTAACTGGGTCAGGTTCAGTGTAAGTACTGAACTGCAGCGTGGGAAGTAAGTGTTTGAGGGAGACACTGTTTTATGTTTAATTGTGGGGTTGGTTAGCCTTAAAAATTCCCCTTGTTTTCAGCCTGCCCCTACTAATTGGGGTTATATATCCCCCCCCATACCTTGTTGGCAGTATTTGAATCCATACTTAGGGGTCTTGTACTCTAGGATGTGTTTTCTTACCTCTTGATTGGTACCTCTCTGTTTCCAGCTGCTGATGGGAAATATGTGGGGCTGTGCAGGTTTCCCTGCTCCCTGGGGCTCCCTGTGCGCCCGGGCATTGGGGGCTGGAACGCATTATGCGTTCCAGCCGACTGTATGCTGCTCGCGGCCGGTTTCGGTGAAACCGGAAGTGAATTACACGCCGGCCGCGAGCGTTTGGAACACATGGCGTGCGTTCCAGCGCTCTGCGCATGCGCGGACCGGGCAATCAGCTTTTTCAGTGCCCGGTCCTATTTGAAGGCTCAGATACAGCTCTCTTGTGCTGTATCTGCAGTCCTGATGTTCTGTTCCCCAGGGGATTGATTTATCACCTCTGCTTCTCCTGTTACCTGGCTGCTTGGTGGAACACTAATTGTTTAAGGTAGGATTTCTATTTTTTGCTGATTAGAAGTTTTTCTTTCATCAGCTTGCCTCTGATCCATTTGTGAATTTAGGTCTTGAATTTCATTGGTTCTTTTTTATAGTATGGATTCTCCCTCTGCCTCTGCAAGGTCCCTCTCGAGAAAACATAGGTGAGCCATTTATTTAATTTATGGGGGGTTGTTAAAAGAGTGCCATACTAAGCCTGTAATATATGTCATATATGGCTTTATTCCAGCCCCAGCATTCATTTGGATTCTCCAGCAAGAAAATCACGGGAAAAGTCAAATAAATGCATTAGTTGTTCATCACCTGCTCCGAATGGAAGGAACCTTTGCAGGGCTTGCTTGTTGGAAGTCGCAGACGCCCCCGGTAGGGGTTCTCCACAGGACAACCTTAAACTCTGGATTTCCCAGGCTATTGCTGAGGGCTTTAAGGCTACCACGGGATCTAGTGGTCAGAGTAAGAGACGTAGAGCGGAACCTCAGTCTTCCAGCTCTGATGAGGACCCTGATGTGTGGGAGGTCTCGGATGAAGGTGAGGAGGAAACTGAATATACCTCCAGGTCTCTTGACTGCAGGTCTGTTGATATACTTATTACCCTTCTCAGAGACACTCTTAGTCTCACTGAAGAGAGATCTGAATTAAAAGAGGCTGACAGGTTCTTTGAGGACCTAAAACCTAACAGACCGACTTTCCCGGTGCATACATCAATCAGAGATATGATCCTTCAGGAATGGAATAAGCCGGAAAAGAAGTCCACCTTGAAAAATAAGTTCACAAGGGTTTATCCGTACTCTTCAGTGGACTGCTGCCTGTGGAACTCAGTTCCTAAAATTGACGCTGCAGTGATCCATATGGCTAAGAAAACGACACTGCCTATTGACTCCATGGCATATCTAAGAGAGCCTGTGGAGAAGCGTATAGATGGAGATCTGATTAAAGCCTATTTGGCCCTAGGGTCCGCCCTTCATCCGGCAGTGGCACTAACTACTCTCTCCAGAGCCTTGAAAGTGTGGCTCGCTAATCTGAGGGAGGACATTGATCAGGGTGTCCGTAGGGAACATCTGTTGGAGAGCCTCAAGGACTTTAGTCTGGCCACGGAATTCTGTTCAGAGGCCTCTCTGGACATCACTCGCATGATTGCCAAGAGCATGGCCCTATCTGTGGCTTCTAGAAGGGCTCTGTGGCTTCATTCGTGGGGTGCTGATTATGCTTCTAAGGCTTCCCTGTGTGCACTTCCGTTCCAAGGGGATCTCCTTTTTGGGAAAATTCTGGAAGATGCTATTCAAAAAGCTGCTGATGGGAAAAAGGCGTTTTTACCTCAAGCCGGTAGGAAGAGTTTTCCTCCCTCCTGGAAGACCAAGCGCTTCAAAGATAGGTCCTTTCGGGACAGCAGGAGCTATAAACCTGGAAGGGAATTTTCCAGGAATTCTTCATGGAAGTCCTTCTTGCATTCTTCTTCCAATAAGCCCTCCAGAGGAAGGGGTGCTAGGATCCCAGGGAAGAACTTCTGAAGGTCTTCAGGCCCGTTCGGGGACGGTGGGAGGAAGGCTGAAGTTTCTCTACCCTGTATGGGCCAGCAATATTTCGGACCTATGGGTCACTTCCATCGTAAAGGAAGGTTACAAAATAGAATTCACATCTTACCCGAAAACTGCATTCTTCCGAAAATCAAGGGTGCCGGTAGGCATCAAACAGAGGGCCATGAGGTCCTGCATTTCAGTACTCCTGGAACAAAAAGTGGTGGAAGAAGTTCCAAAACGGGAATGGTTCCAGGGAATTTACTCCACGGTCTTCTTGGCCCCAAAACCACAGGGAAAGTGGCGTCTCATCTTGAATTTGAAAGGCGTGAACTCCTTGCTCGACGTAAGGACGTTCAAAATGGAATCCTTGAGGACCATCTTGAAGTGTGCCAAAAAAGGAGACTGGATGACCTCAATAGACTTAAGGGACGCCTACTATCATATCCCGATACCTCAAGATCATGTACGGTTTCTCAGGTTTTGGGCGCTAGGAAGGCACTTCCAGTTCCGGGGACTACCGTTTGGCCTCAGCCTGGCTCCAAGAACGTTCTCAAAAGTTCTGGTCACCTTAATAGCCTTTATAAGGGAAAAGGGTATCGAGATATTCCATTACTTGGACGACATTCTTATCTTGGGTCCATCTCAAGGAATTGTAGCTCAACATACGTCAGTGGCAATGTCCATTCTTCAAGACCATTGTTGGCTCCTGAACGTGGAAAAGAGCTCCCTCGTTCCTGCACAAACGATCATTTTCCTGGGGGCGGTGGTGAATACCGTGTCTGCACATGTGTTCCTGTCTCCAGAAAGGGTCACAAAGATCAGAGACAAAGTAAGGAAGCTGCAAGATCTCGAAACTGCACCTGAAAGAGAAGTCATGAGTCTCCTGGGTTCCTTGACTTCAACAATAGGCTTGGTGGGCCCAGTGGGCCCAGTGGAAGTTCCGTCCGGCCCAGAACTGCTTCCTTCTCCAGTTCAACAGAGTGGAAGCGGATTGGGAACAGATGATATCTCTTCCCCTTCCCGTAAGGAAAGGCTTAAACTGGTGGAAGAGCGAGAGGAATTTGACAACAGGCTTCCCGTTGGAAGACCCCCCTTGGAAGGTTATTTCAACAGATGCCAGTTCTTTTGGATGGGGTGCCCACTTCAGTTCTGTATGGACTCAAGGGAAGTGGACCCGAGAAGAGAGTCGCCTACACTCAAACTTAAGGGAGCTGAGAGTGGTTTACAAGGCCATTTTGAGATTCCTGCCAAGGCTAAGGAATTCTTGGGTTCTAATCAAAACAGACAACCGAGCGGTGGCCTCATATGTGAACAACCAAGGTGGTTCCCTTAATGGCTATAGCCATGACCTATCTTCAAGGCCTGAAGGCGATTTATCTCCCAGGTTCGGAGAACGTAACGGCAGACTTCCTCAGCAGAAAGGAAATTCTTCCGAGAGAATGGCAACTTTACCCAGCGATCTTTGCAGAAATTGCTCATCGGTGGGGCATGCCCCAGATCGACCTGATGGCGTCATCTCAGAATCACCAGGTGGAGAATTACTTCTCTCTCCATCCGGACTGTCAGGCACTGGGCCAGGATGCTCTCTCTCTGCCTTGGTCGTTCGATCTGGGGTATGCTTTCCCTCCCCTACCCATGATACCCAGGTTCCTGCGGAAGGTTTGGTCGGAAGGCAAGAAAGTCATTGCCGTAATTCCAATTTGGCCTCGGAGGCCGTGGTTTCCCCTATTGGCCATGATGAGCCAAGAACAACCTTGGCCTCTTCCAGTGATGGAGGATCTGCTAACGCAGGGCCCTGTATTCCATCCTCATCCGGAATGCCTCAAACTGGGGGTATGGGTCTTGAGAAAGAAAGACTCCAATTACTAGGTCTCTCGGAGGCAGTGATCAATACCCTTCTGCTCTCCAGGAAGGCTTCCACTTCTTCATGCTACCATAGGATGTGTTCCAAACTTGGGCGTCGTCTCATAATGTGGACTTTCTGCATCCTAGCAATACTGAAGTTTTGGAGTTTCTGCAAGAGGGCCCGGACAAGAGCCTTAGCCTCAGCACCTTGAAGGTTCAGTCTTCGACACTTTCAGCTTTGTGCAACATCTCATGGGCTTTGGATCCTTTAATTTCCAGGTTCTTCAAAGCTGCCTTCAGGTTGAGGCCTCCTTCCAGATCTACTACCCCTCCTTGGGACCTTCCTATGGTGCTCAATTATCTCACTGAGAATCTGTTTGTTCCTCTTGAAGGTTTGGATGCTACTCTCCTGACGTATAAAACTTTGTTTTTGGTGGCAATTACTTCCGCAAGAAGGATTTCAGAAATTAAGGCATTTTCTACATCTTCTTCTTGTTTACGATTCTACCAAGATAGGGTGTGTCTGAAACCAAAACCAGAGTTTCTTCCTAAGGTAGTTTCTCAGTTTCACCTCTCTCAAGAAGTGGTTATTCCATAATTTTACCCCAACCCCTCTTCTCAGGAGGAGGTTAGATGGCAACGTTTGGATGTCATGAACTGCTTGTCTGCATATCTTAAACGTTCTGAGTCTTTCCGTAAAACGGACCAACTCTTCGTTTTGCCGTTGGGAGCAAGGAGAGGTGAGGCGGCTTCTTTATCTATGTTGAAACGTTGGATTTCTCTGATAATTAAGAAGGCGTATATCTCTAAAGGTATATCACCACCTCGGGAGATAAGAACTCATTCTACTAGAGCATTATCAACTTCATGGGCTAGCTGTGCAGAGGTTCCATACGATGATATTTGCAGAGCAGCCACCTGGTCTTCTCCGATGACATTCATGAAGCACTACAAACTTGATGTGGAGTCTCCTTCCACCTCCTTTGGAAAGAGTGTCCTGTCTACGGTCTCTTTATCCCGTTGATATTAAACTTTTCTTTGCTGCATGTGTTTCAGTTTTGTGTAATTTCTTGGATTATTATTCCCACCCTATTTTTCTGTGAAGCTTGGGTATTACCCATAAGTGATGCTGCCATGATTAGCCAGGAATAGAGAAAATTTATGACAAACTTACCGTAATTTTCTTTTCCTGGCTATTTCTCATGGCAGCATCAGGGTTCCCGCCCATTCTTTATTTCAGCTTTATAATTGGTCTGAGGTATAGGGGGAGGAGGGACTCCTTATACCTATCAGTCTGATTAATTAATCTAATTAATCCCTGTCCTGTGACTGCTAAGGGAGGAGCTACCCATAAGTGATGCTGCCATGAGAAATAGCCAGGAAAAGAAAATTACGGTAAGTTTGTCATAAATTTTCTCTATTATCTATCATAAATCTCTGAATAACACCCCACATGTACATATTTTTTTTAAAGTAGACAACCCAGGGTATTCAATATGGGGTATGTCCAGACTTTTTTAGTAGCCACTTAGTCGCAAACACTGGCCAAAGTTAGCGTTCATATTTGTTTGTGTGTGAAAAAAGTAAAAAACTAAATTGAATGCTAATTTTGACCAGTGTTTGTGACTAAGTGGCTATTAAAAAAGACTGGACATACCCCATTTGCAATACCTTGGGTTATATATATATATATATATATATATATATATATATATATATATATATATATATATAATATCAAAATACAGTTAGAATAAAATTTCATATAGATATATAATTTTGTTTTACATTTTTTATTCTTTTTAAATTTTTTAATTTAATTTAAATTACTTATTATTTGTATTTTATAATAATATTTATATACAATATATATAGTTATTATATATATTAAATATATACGTGTGTAATTTAATAAGTGTATTTTTATATTAATATATGTACATATTAATATAAAAATACACTTAGTATGACATTATATATATGTCTATATATCATATTTATATACACATATATAATTTTTTTTTTAATTAACATTAACATTTTTTTTATTTTTTTATTTTTTTATTTTACACTAGCAGGGAGACTGCCTGTCAGCACAGACAGTCCCCCTGCAGGCAGACACATGGACACCTATTGTGACCATGTGATCGTTCTGTTGAGCGATCACATGGCCACAGGGGTCCTAATCCGCCATGGGTAGACTGTCTTAGCTGCAGGCAGTCTCCCCACACCGGGAGCACCGCCGATCGCCGCCGGGGGAACAACGGCGATCGGGTAAGTAAATAAGACCGTTAGGACGGTTCAGGACCATCACTGGTCGGCAATGGAAAAATGCCGATGACGGTCCTGAACCGTCCTCGGTCCTTAAGGGGTTAAACGGTTGACTACTTACTCTGGGAGGGGGTATTGGCACCATAACCACTACACAGAGCTGTAGTGGTTATTGTGCCTGGATTATTTCTTTAAATAATATAAAAGTGCCCCTCCCGAGATCAGTCTCTGGATCCGCCACTGTCTGCAAGGCACTGCCTCCCTGACCTGGTAGCCCTCTGTTTGAGCTAAGCCTGGTGGTGCAGGGCTTAACTCATTGGTTGAGAGCGATCAGCTGACACACTCGGCCAGTGAGGCAGCCTTGTACTGCAGGATTTAGATTAGAAGAAATAACGGAAGCTCCTGCTTAGGAACAAGCTCTCAGTTGTTAGCAAAAGTTTGACAACTTACAGTGGGAGTTCCACTGCACTCCTGACACCATAACCACTTTAGCGGTGGTTATGGTACTTGCAGTGTTCCTTTACTATAATGACTCACTATATAACAGTCACAATTCTTGTTTCTGGTATAAAAATAGCACTCTGTGGGGATTGCTGATGTCACCAGCTCAGCCGGATTGGCAGTATTATGAATAATAGTCATCAAAGCAGTATGTTCAGGCACACCGTAATGGAGGACAAACGTTTTCTCTCCATCCTACATTTAGATCTCAACCTGCATTCTGTGTCAGATTGAGTCAGTTATTTATCTGTTCAAACTAAATGTCCTGGAACCATGGAAATGGCATGCACTTGGTTACCATTAGATTAAAAGCAAAACAACTGGCAATTTCAACTATTTTTCTTCCAATTCTTTTTTTGGTACAGACAGTGTAATGCAGTATAGTGTAGAGGCCAGGCATTACTGTCCCATGGCTGCCTGAGATTACTGGGCATTACAGTCCTATATAACAGCTATATCAGCTTACTGCTATTGCTAATGCGGATTTATTAGTCACATCTTTAGTCATTTGTTAGAACCAGTTCCCCAAATACTTAAAGGGACTCTCCAGTGCCAGGAAAACAAACCGTTTTCCTTGCAATGCAGGTCCCCTCTCCCTCCCATCCCAAGTTGCTGAAAGGGTTAAAACCCCTTCAGTGACTTACCTGTATCCAGCGCCATGGCCCTTGGCACTGGGTTAGGCTCCGCCTACGCTCCTCCCCCGCCGACGTCAGCCAGCGGGGGGAGACCTATTGTGCATGTGCGCCAGTGCCGCGCACACGCATTAGACCTCCCCATAGGAAAGCATTGAATAATGCTTTCAATGCTTTCCTATGGGGATTTCGGCGACGCTGGAGGTCCTCACATAGCGTGAGGACATCCAGCGTCGTTATAAGACACTTTTTGTGTTCTATGAACACGGAAGTGACCTCTAGTAGCTATCTAGTAGACAGTAGACAGCCACTAGAGGAGGACTTAACCCTGCAAGGTAAATATTGCAGTTTATAAAAACTGCAATAATTACACTTGCAGGGTTAAGGGTAGTGGGAGTTGGCACCCAGTCCACTCCAATGGGCAGAAGTGGTCTGGGTGCCTGGAGTGTCCCTTTAACTCTTGTTATCTGCAGCTCACCTTACTATACAATGATATGCTATGCATATCCTCTCCCCCTTACAGTAGCAGTGTTTTTTCTCTCTCCCTAATAATAGTTTTGTTATCTTCAGTTATGATTCCTCAGTGTACCTGGAGTCATTTTTAAACAAATCTCAAGCTGCAATGAGAGCGAATTACTACTTAGGCCCTTTTACACTGATCAGCCACAACATTAAAGGAACACGATAGGCACTCAGACCACTTCAGCTCATTGAAGTGATCTGGGTACTGTGTCCTTATTGTACTTAGTGCTTCAATGTTTTACAATGTTTTACATTGCAGCTCTAAGTATGTCCTCAGTGGCTGTCTACCACACAGCCACTGGGGGCGCTTCCGGAATCCAAACCATTCTTTGGTCCTTTATCTGATGCTGGACATCCTCACGCTCTGCATTAAGGACCTCCAGCATCAGATTTTTACCACCGGAAAGCATTCAATACTTTCCTATGGGGAATTCCTAATGTGAGCGCATTAGGTCTCCCCATCCGGCTGATGTCAGCGGGGGAGGAGGCAAGTGGTTGTAGGGGTTTTAACCCCTTCAGCCCTGTGGGAAGGGGGGACGGGGATCCTTAGAAACCTATAGTGCCAGGAAAACGGCTTTGTTATCCTGGCACTACAGTATCCCTTTAAAACCAATGTAAGGTGAAGTGACTAACACTGGTTATATTGTTACAATGGCACCTGTCAGGGGGCAGGATATATTAGGCAGCAAGTGAACAGTCAAATCTTGAATTTCATGTGTTGGAACCAAGAAAAATGGACAAGAGAAAACATCTGAGTGACTTTGACCAGAGACAAACTGTGATAGCTAGATGACTGGGTCATCTCCAACACATCAAGTCATGTGTGGTTTCCCTGGTATGCAGTGATTAGTACCTACCAAAGGTGGTACAAGGGAGGACAACCGTGCAGTTCTGGCAGCACGAGGGGGACCTACCCGATATTAGGCAGGTAGTTTTAAAGTTGTGGCTGATCAGTGTACAGTACCAACATATTCCATTGCACTTTACAATTATAGAATGTGGATGTTTGACAACAATTAATTTACATACGGAATGTAACAATGAGACAAGAGCTGAGAAGAACATACATTCTATGAGAAAGGGGTAAAATAAAAACCTGCATGTTGGAGGGAAGGAGGGATTGATGGATAAGATGCCTGTGTCAAAATAAGCATTTCTGGAGCGGAAGACC